CTCGCTCAGGGAGCAGCGGAACTTCTGCAATAAAAGGCCGCAGCTGACAACCTGGGACACCAGGATTCGATCCGACAGAAATGACTTGGCCTCCCATCCTCTGGGGCAGCTTGGCACAGCTGAGGAATGCTGCCCCACCCTGGGTGTGGAGAGCGCGGTGCCTCGTGCCCAGATTGGGAGAGGCTCCAGAAAATATTTAGGACAGAGTCCTCCCCAAAGAACCCAGGGAGGCGGGGACGTCACTGTGAATGCCCAAGCTCCGCTGGCCCACCGTGGACCCTGGTGCAGAGCTGGCATGAGGACACCTGTGTGTGTCTGAAGATGAGACTGCCCTGTACTCCTGGACACCGGCATCCCCTGCAGGCCTGTAAGCCCCTGTTTTAGGCTACGAGTGGCCGTCACTGCCTCCCCATGACATGTCATCCCTGGCTGGTGGACAAAGCGCTCCCTCACCTGGAGCTGGCCAAGTTGCCCACATAGCTCTCTGGTGGCCAAACGCGAAGGGGATGCTGCTCGCAGTGTTCATGGGTCGGAACTCTGCTTCACTCAGGCCTGTTGAGTCCTCTCCTTCTCCCGCACGCCCTGCAGACTCTAGGGCTTTCTGCATCTCCTTACACACACTCTCCAGCTCCCTCTGACCAACCCTACACCTGCCCCGCGCACTCTGCAGACTCTAGGGTTTTCTGCATCTCCTTACGCACGCTCCCCAGCTCCCTCTGACCAACCCTACACCTGCCCCTCACCTGGAGAAACTGGAGAAGGTTACTGTATTATGTGTGTTCTCTGCAGGCCACTGATGTCTTCTGAAACCCTCCCCAATGTTGCAGAAACAATTCAACATTTTTAAAGCCTATCCATTCACTCTGTCCCAAGGCAACAGCCTCAAACATGCCCTCAAAGCCCATATGCAGCAGTCAAAAAAGAGTTAAACTTATACAAATCGACCAGTATAATTTGTTATACAAGTCAATTTAAAAGAGTTAAAATAAAAATGAAAGAAAGACAGACAGGCCGGCCCCGTAGCCTAGTGGTTAAGGCAACCAGATCCCACATGGGCAGCCACAGTTCAAATCCTGGCCCCGGCAGCTTGAAAAACACGGCAGGCAGGTGTACACACGTGGCTGAAGTCCCAACGGGATGGAGGAGCTGGGAGGAAGGGGCTGGCACGTGACCATGCCCCGTCGTGAGTACTTTCTCCTTGTTCCCTCTCTCTGTCGCGCTGTCTCTCCTCTTCTGGCCAACATACATATCTTCCGGCAAAAAAAAAAAAAAAAAAAAAAAAGCAAACCTAGATACTCAAGAAGGAGAAAATTACATACGCTTGCTACATCAATTCTGGCTCTGCACTGAAAGACAGCGACAGTGATGAGATGGTGTCACGGAAAGGTGTGTATGTGAAATGCAGACAAAAGGACGACACACGCTGGGCCACTGCAGTCCTCGAGTGACGACTGGAAAGCGCCACGCGCCACGCGCCACGCTGGGCTGCCCCTCTGCCGCCTCACTGTCACAGCAAGGATCAAATAACTACTGAAGAAAACATGCCGAATGACAAGGGGACTAGACGGGACGTCAGTGTTCTAAATGCTGGCGTCTGATTGGGGCTTCAGAACGTGCAGTGGTGGCGGTGGGGACCGAGCACGGCGTCGGCGTCAGAGGCTCAGGGGAAACTGGCTGCTCCGAGCTCTGCCTTCGCGTTCCAGACCTCTGCCTTCATCAGCTGCAGCATGTACAGACGGCAACTGGCGGGGCAGAGAGCAGACCAGAGGCTGGGCCTCCACCGCTCCTCTGTAAGCAAGAACTGCTCCTGCCATCCAGCCACCCTTTCTGAGAGAGGACAGCTGATAAAAACGGGAGAGGGAACTAAGAGGGAAATCTCCGCTCTAGGAGGCCACCTACTTTTTTTTTTTTTTAAGGTCAATGAACCTTTTTTATTTTTGGAGAGGTTTATTTTGCTATAGGGCGCGTGCGCTTGCCAGACACACAGAAAGCAAGAAATCCCTCCCCCCAGGGAGGATGGCCACGCCACAATCCCTTCTCCTCCATTCTCCTCTCAGGATCTTGGGCACACACGCACATGTGCCCAGCGTGAGTTTTACGCCACCGGGTCCAGGACACGAACCATGGTCGACTACATGGGAGTCCAGCGACAAAGCCATTACACTAACCGCTGGTCCCTAGGAGGCCACCTACTTTATCTAGCCCAGACCAGGGTCTGTGGCCCGAGGCTACACAGAGGACTCCCGGACAGGAACACCTGGAATTCTGGTTACCGACCCACGCATCCCACCTAAGCCTTCCTGCACACTCGGTGGAGAGGGACACGGCTCGCTTGCTCACAGTCCAACTGTCCGCTTGCACCTGGCAGCCTGCGTGGGCGCCGAGAGCCTCCCTTCGCCTCTCACTCCCCAGGGCACAAAAGGAAGGCGGGGACAAGGGACTGTCAAGGGACAGGGCTCCGGAAGCCCTGTGTACAGGTGACGTGGACACCTGAGGACTCTGTCTCCTCTGTCCCCACCCAGACCACACTTCTCCTAGTCAGACACATCCCGACTTCCTCCTGTTTGGTTTTTAATCCAGATTTATCTGGGTTTTCCCCCCCTTTTTTTAATTGCCAGAGGACGTGGGCACTCAGCAGAGAGACAGAGGGAGACAGAGCACCCGCAATGGGGCATGGTCGCGCTGCAGCCCCTTCTCCATTCCTCCGCCCCAAAGGATCTGGGCATGGATGCCACATTTCCAACCACGGTCCGCTGTGCGGCTCCAGCTCCCTGTGCCACCAGACTGAGGCCAGCCCAGGACGTCTGTTTTACACCTCTAAAACACGTGCCTGCCGGTGCCCCTGTGGTTCTGAGGATGACAGAGCTGCACACGCTCCATCCTGCTCGCCTGCTGACCCTGGCCATGACCGGACCAGAATGCCCTCGGCGGCCACCCGAGGCCTGAGGCCAGGGCAGGTGGGGAGGGCAGAACCCAGAATCTGAGGCACCACTGCAGGGTGATGGGTTTGCCATTTCTTCCCCACATCCCTGGCTGGGCTAAGCACAGCCAGGCCCCAGAAGTCGGTATGGCGAGGCGTCCGGGCATAAGTCCTCTAGCCCTGGCCTGAGAAGCAGGCTCTCGGAGGCGGTGGGTGCCTCTGCTCCTGTCTCTTCTTGGCCCCATCGGGCCACCCCCAGGCGATGCTACCGCAGTGACAGTGGCAGCAGAGGGCCCGCCCGTGGGTGGCCGCGACCCGCAA